AGCTCTTTGTCGATCCAGTAATTCGCCCCCCACCACGCTTTAAGGGGGCCAAACCAATGTGACGGATTCAAGAAATCGAAATTGCGAAGTGGTGTCTCTTAATCTCGATGTTAGGGCTCGGGGTAAAAAGTATAATAATATCCACGAGTTAACGTTTACGGTTTCCTAGTGGAACAGTGGCTGATGGCAAATCCAAGCCTGTGTAGTTTCAGGCAACTCCGAGTGGAAGTAAATACTAAGGTTAAACTGAATTAAACTATATCAAACTGGACCACGATAGACAGAGTGTCGGCTCGTGTATTCTTGACGGTTCGATTCCATGCTTGGACCCTTGGGCGGGTACTCTTGTCTCAGCCGTTTGTACTGTGCGTGCGTCAGAAATTGGCAAGTGAAAGGGACGTGGGTCTGATTGGTAGACAAGAGTGGGGATAGATACAGCAAGTACTCCCCTCTGTCTCCTATCCTCATCGTTAGATTCTTATCTAATCCTTGTGGACGTGATGGACTCGTCGACAACTTTCGATCTTTGCATAATAGAACTCCCTTGTCATCGTTTTTGCAGCTCCGTTCAGTGGACGTATTTGGGTTTATCGGTCGGATCGTAGGTGGCTCGCGTCCCCGTGGCCTTTATCTCTCTCCCGAGGATTATTATCAGCGTCCATCGGTCGGGTGTGTAGGTACACGCGATCGGTCCGAGTCGTCGCCAGTGGCCGCTCGTTAGGCCCGCGCCAGCATCTTTCTCATTACGTCTCCACACTTCTTTCCCTCTTTCCTTTTTTCCCTCCTCCGCGTCCCCACGTAACCCCGTCAGATTTTTCTTTTTTTTTTTTTTTAATCGTCCTCGCGGCGTCGCTGCGTCGTGTCACTTGGCCCCCGGTAATTGATATCGGTACGCAGTATGCAAGCTCGGTGTAGCGTGGCGCGGTTTAATTGGGAAGAGGAGAGAGAGGCCGAGCCGGCGAAACGACGGGGAGGTCGTCTCTTATTGGATCCGCCGAGAGGATTACTGCGTTATAAATACAGAGGGCCTGGCATTATTCGGGACCCCCGCTGCTAATTGGAGTAACTTTGCCTCCTCGAGCGCGATTGTTTACCGTCCCCCGGAGAACGCGAAGAGGGATTGACGCGTGTCAAGCCTTTGAAACGTCCGTTCTTTGCCCGGGCAAGAATAGCAATTATCGTGGAACGCTGCTTCAGGGCCGTGCCTTCGACGTCTCGGCGGCGAGAGTGCCCCCATCGCCCGGAATCGCGTTTTTCCAGGGTGTTCACCGACCACTGGAACGTCCTTTTCCCGGGCCACGGAGAGGACCTCGTGGCCTTTATGAATAAAAGAGCCCCGGCGATCGTGGTAATTGGGAACGGTTGATTGTTCTTTTCCAAATGACACGAGCTTCGTATATCTGATGTCCAACTAAAGAGTTTCGCCGTCAACGGGTGAGGGAGAGTATTCTTCCAGACGGTTAGCCCCTAGTAACAAGGCAACTTGCACGGTTCTTATCTCGATACCAACTTCGAAGAGTGAAACTCCTCGGGGAGTGGACACCGGTCTTGATATCCCTGGCGTCCTAATCTCGGAAAGAGAGTGTCCGTTTAAGACCCCCTTCTTTGTCTCGCTAATCGGGAGGAGCCGCCCCGAAATTCGAGCAGCGACGCGGATTCCGTGAAATCGGTTTTCGGGGGACGGTGGTGCACGGTATAAACCGGGGGGGCTTCGTTTTAATTAGCAGTAAACAGCCTCCATTAAGCCCGAAGCAGTAAATCACCTGCACTTATACCAGCTCTCTATCCCTCGTGGCGCAACGGCGTCGTCTTCGGCCGCTCGTGGGGGCCACGGGGACGGGAAACAGAGCGGATAGAAAGAGGTAGGAGAGGAACACGCCATGAACGAGCGAGGGGATCCCGGCGATCGGGAGGGGCTGGTGATGGAGGGGGAGGGGGGGGGGGTGTACATTACATTTCAATTTGGATCTGTCCGTCCTTCTTGCGGGAGCGTCGGAGACGAGCACTCTGCCGGGCACGGACCAATGCGCTTCGCCAGAAACGGGGGAGGTGGTGGAAGCTTTCGAATTTTCCTGGTCCTCGAGCATCGGTACACCGGGAGACGCGACAGAGGTCTCTTCTCTCCGTGCACCACCTCCTTTTCCCCTCCGTTCCTCGAGGAGAAACAATAGGAGCACGTGAAAGTTGCCGTCGCGCTTCACGGTTCCCGGAAGAAGCTAGCGGAGCAGAGCTTATGTTTTAACTTCGATTATTGATTCCCGCGCTCCTGGCCGTTTTTCCCGCGCCCCGATTCCTACCATCGATCCGCCATCACGAGATGCCTCTAACCTCTGTACACCTTCGAAAACTTCATCCTCTGATCTTTTTATTCGCGATTAACCATCGAAGCTACCGAAAGTCTTGTAGAAACTATCCTTTTGTAGCTTGCTATGATAGAAAGAGATATAGAGGAGTTCTTGTGAGAGAGAAAGGTCGAGCGTGGCCCTCTGCTGGCGAGCGCGGGAAGCGTCACTTCTATTAAAAATAGAATAAAACAGTGTTTGAAGGGTACATGCAAATTTACGTTTGTGTAACAAAGACCCATTTAGATGGTCGATTTTCCTTTCCGCGACGAGAACAGTGTATCCCTTTGAAACTTCGCCGGAAAGTTTCGTCGCGATCGTCTCGATCGCGAAGTCTTGGAACGTAAACTGTCTCGCGAAGATCAATACAGAGAAAGAGAGGAGAGAAAGAGAGAGCCACAGGTTGGTCTACTGCGAGCGAAGCGACGATATACGATCCTGCAACTTCATCTCGACCTCTTCCATGAGCCACGGAGGTCGGAGGTCGAGGGCTTCGTCAAGTCAGGAACCCGTCGATCCAGTTTGTGCTTGGAATCACGGTCCCGTTTTCACCTCAAAACCCTTGAACTCGACCTGGGAACCTCGCGGCATCATTCCACGCACGTAATCGTCGAAGCTCCCGAGGATCATCGTTCGTTTGGAGATTCACCCGCTAAAATCTACCCGTTCGGACGCGCGATAATTAAATCGAGCCGGTCGAGCTTTCGTGTTTCCATTCGACGAGAGAAAAATAGCGTTTCAGGATGACTGAGATCGAAAGAAACATCGCCGGTGAAATTAATATTTAACATCGGAGGGTTTCGATTTCCTCCGATAGCTGTAAAGGAACGAAAGAAGTCGTTGTTGATTTGTTCGACCAAAAAATGTGGAATGCTTGGTCGTATAAGTATAGTGAATCGAGCGGATTTTTATTGGTTTTTACGCACTCTTTGATGCGAGAATAATGAATTCCGGTTCTTGCGGCGCAGTACTGTTGTTTCATCATAATGTTTTGCTCGAGAACGGAAGACTAGTAATTTCTTGTGTGTCTATAGACGAGTGTAATTAGTATTGATATCTCAAGGTTATTTTGCGCAACGATAAAATATTTTTCATATATTGTACGCCTTGTTTCGCATGGACGAACTCGAAAATTAAACATTTTTATCATCTATTATAATTAACGATTCAATTTTAAGTCTTCGTTTTAATAATCGAGGGGGATTTAGTCAATATCAATTTGTAGTAAAATGGAGAGCATATAAAATTGGAGCGGGATAAGATTTTACTATTCTTTCGACACGCTTTTCATATTCTTCGGTAATAAAGTATAAATTCAAAGTGCTTGGACGATATTGGAGACTCAATCACCGTTCGAAGATTAAATATCAAATATGAAACGAAAACTGTTCTCATCCGCGATACAATTTCTTCCAATTTCACGGTAACACAGGGTTACAAGGTTGTTCCTCTTGATATCCGCGGCCGCAGAAAGCGTCAATGTAGCGAATTCTTATTACAAGCGGAATCGACGTGTTCGGAGAAAGATCGAGAAGAAGGAAGGCTCTCACAGGCCTGTACGCGGCCGCATGGCTGCAATGGAACCCTTTGTGAACCCCGGGGGCCCAACAAACGGGCCTTTGTCCTCCGCCAGAGGGGGAGAGAGGTACCGTAGAATGGAAAACGTCCGCTCGAACGAATCGAATCTATCGTTTGTTTAGTTTCGAGATTTCAAAGGTTACCCCTGTTCAGCGGTGCCAATTTTGTTAGTTCAGTTGGCCTCGAGTGTTTTCAAACGCGAACGGGTCGTGAACCTTTTTTCCACCCCTTCCCCTTCTTACATTAATTGACGATGATTGTCGTGAAACTCCTGGAAACGATATCGATGCATTATAGAACTTACAATGAAAATTAATCAGGTTTAGTCAATAGATTCTAAGTTTACAATTTTTAACAGAATATTTCAGTCTTATTAACGTAAAATGAAACGTGATATAAAAATTCGAAGACAATGCGTTTGCGTTGAGTTAAAAAAAATTTTGACAAGTTCTCGAAAATATTCCGCAGCATCGTGAAGTGTCCAGGTTTCGGATAGTTGAGTTTTCCTAAAACGTACACAAATATTTCTCGTATTTTTCGATCCTGAACCCGGTGGTTATCCCGCTTAATGCTACCCGGGCTCTCTGACGCGTTCAAATTCCACTACATGCTTCCAGGACATATTCGATTTCGATGTTACACCGTCCCCGATGAATTTGTATTCCCAAATTCGCCGGGAATCCTGCGTCATTCGATTTCGGCGAAATCTATCGGCCCGGTATCGGCTTCGATTAAAATTCCGCGACAGCCGCTTCGTTCGAGAGGCTCGAAACATTCGCAGATTTTCGGAAGCTCGTAGGCGAGGCTTGGCGCGCAGGATTTTGTAAACGATGTAAACCAATTGCAGAACGTACACTGGCACGTGACCAGAGTGATCCAGAACTAATTAACACGGGAACTCCATGGGGGTTGTAGACGAGGCTTCATACACCTCCAAAAGACAAATTTCAAGCCTCCAATCTACTTGTAAACTTTAGAAAATTGCTATGTAACGATTGCAATTTTTGAATAAAAGGTTCTAAATGAACCTAATCGAAGCTAAGATTGTTTTGTTACTAATTTAATTTTTCCTTGTTTCAGGTGAGTCACGAGTTATAGACGAATCCATGGCCGATTCCCAAAGAAATTTCTCATCACAGGTATTTACATAATTACCTATTCTTTATTAGAGGGGGATTAGAAAATGTAGAATAACGAATGAATCAATCTTAATTATATTTGAATTTCGTCCGTCTCTGGGGCAGGCTGGGTTCAATGGTACCGCCCCTGAGAGATCATTCTTCCGTCTCGCGACGAAAGCTACGAAAACGTCCGCAGTGCTAATCAATAAGCGACTTTTGAGGACGTCGAACGCAGTCCCGTTCGTTATCAGTATCGTAATTGGTTGAATAACGATACCGAGAATACACCGTGGGGAGGCAAAGGACTCGTTATTAAAAAAAAAAAGAGGGGGAAAAAAACACGAGAGAAAAAAAATGGAGGGAAAGTAACAAAGGACAGAGAGGGAAAGAAACGTCGTCCGCTTAATTCATTCCGCGTTTTATTAAACGGCGAAAACACAGCCGCTTTGTGCTGTAGTAATAATTCACATGGGTTCATTGTTCCTGCTCGTTAAGATTTTCCTTTGAGACGACCGAATCTTTTGCATCGGCTCGCCCTCTAATTTAATGGCGTCTTCGTTAAAATTACCGCGACGCGGAGGATCCTCGCCGGGCGCAAGAACAACATTATCAGATCTCTTCTTGCGCCGCGAGACCGACGGGAAAGTCTCTTTTTTTTCCGGGGGAACCCTTCGTAGTCGAGAGGAAAAGCTCTCGGTTCCTCCTTCAGTCCTCCCCCTCCCCGCCTCGTCGTCACTGTTTTTACGCCCCCGGAGATCGAAGGTTTTCGCGACGCGGGGAAAGTTCCGCGAAACACGGGCGCACCTTTAAGTCGGATTAGGTACCATTAGGTACCATGAAATTACACGACGGGGGCTGATCCTGCTAAATATTCATTGCGGGAACTCGCGAAATTCATTGGCGAAACTATCTTAAGGTATTAAATCCTCCAGGTTTTCGAGGTTGTTTGTGACGTTCCGCGACGGAGGAGTTTCAGAGCGATACTCTCCTCCTCTGGGGAAAAGCTCGTTTTTGTATGAAACACGTAATAACAGAAATATCGTTTCCGGAATAATGGTAAATTATATCAGGGACCACGCTGTGAGCCATACGGTATTGTTGTCTTCATTATTGCAATCGAAATTGCAATGCAAATGGTGATCAATAGCTTGGGTGTGATAAAATAAACCCAAAATAAAATAAATTATATTTTTTCAAGGCTTTGTTTTCAAGCTACTGAACATTCGTCTGATATGTAGCTTGTCTCACGTGTTTGTCCATTACTGTCTGTTTCTACTTGCACCAGAGTTTCTAATATTGATGTAGCAACATAGTTTGATCTGTTTTAACTGCTTCTAATGAAAGGTAGAATACCACTATTAACGTTTATAAACAGAAAATTATTAATAATTATCTGTGAAATTATATTAGTGAATATGCTCCTGTAAAATATAACCTAATGAACGGACATGTCAGACGAGTCTTAACAATAGTACGTATCCCTCGACAAATTCGAAAATCGATATTTTTGAAAACGAAACCCAATGCCGGAAATCTTTTATTCCAGATTTTCGATTTATTTTCGGCGTCGAAACCGTTCTGAAACGCCCATTCATACTGTTTGGACGCCTGCTGGCCTCCATTGTGGATTAAAAATCTTCTTTCGAATGAAACATACTGAAGATGAAAGAATGCCGGATATTTTTCAGTTACATGGTATCAAATTATTAACGAGGTTTAAAAAAAAAAATAGAACATGTTCCGTCGAGAAGCAAACATCGTTCTATTTCCTGTTAATTATTTTCTTGTTTCTTTATTTCATTTTATAGTAATGGAAATACTTCTTTATTATATGGTCAAATTTGTATTTTAGATAAAATATAATTATATTCTTTTCTGAATATTTGAGAGATAGTAAATTATTTTAAAATTTATTTTTAAACACTTTATCGTTGATTTACAAAATCTGCAAAAAGGACAATGCTAGACTATTTATTCGGCTACTTTCGTCGCTATAAAAACAAACCTGACTCAGAAAGTCTTTACTGTACAGTTAAAGGTTAAAGATTGTCGAAGAAAGCCACCCCCTTATGGCCAGCGTAAAGAACGCGTAGGAGCGATAAACAATACGTCGCCAGGTCCGACCTCGAACCTGACCCTATTATCCCCGTGTTATCGAAGCATGGCGGTAGCTCTATGCTCGAGCCATAGCGCCGAAAATCGCCCTCTCGCTCAACTTTCCAGCTCGTCGAGCCTCTCTCGGTGGCTGGTAATTCCCGGCCGAGCGGCGTCGCGACGTGACTGCTAGGAACCCGTGCTCCAGGGGGGTGGTGTCTTTTCCCCGGGAGACCGCAAAATCCTCGCTCGGAAAATACAAGGCCACTCGAGCGTCCCGGTTGCGGAAGCACGCCGAGAGTCCTGGCTGAGAATCGGCGTCGTCTTCCAGCGAGCGCACGTGCTGCTAGCAAAGAGCAAGTTTCTTTCGTTAAAGGGGCGGCCTTGGCGAGGGAGGGAAAAGCCAAAGAGAGAGAGAAAGAGAACGGTAGAAGGGCGACGGGGGAGGGTGTATCCACGGCCGATAATCCCTCCGGTGTTTTTCTTTTCCGTTCCCCGACCACGACCCACTTATCCCGGCATCGTAGAAGACCTCCAACCCTCTCTACGGCCCGTTTTATCGGGTGTCGCCGCGGGTTATCGTCGTGGTTGCTGCCACGGAGGGTGAAAAAGGGGTTGAGCTGGCTGGCTGAAGCAGCGCCCGGTAGTGTGAGGTTGCTACCACCTGTTGGCAGGACAACGTCTTAGCCCCCCTACGCTCCCGCTCCTACAACCCCCGTCCACCCCATCCACCTTCCCAGACACTCTCGTTTCCTTCTTCTTCGTCGTCGTCTTCGTTTTTTTTCTCTCCCCCCCCGTTCCCGTCTTCTTCTTCCTTTTGCATCGTTCTTCCGCGATCCCTCCGTGCACGCTCCCTCCTCGTGGCGCGAGCCATCGCCACGATCCTCGCGAGCACGTTCTTGCTTGGGGGATTCTCCGGGGCGCAAATTAATGTCGAGCACTGTCGCGGAAAGGGGTTGAAGAACGTTTCGGGGGAACCGTTCAGCGGCGCTCGTTTGAAGCTTCTTCACTTGTGTCTTTTAAAATAATTATACGTCACTGGTCCCACAGAAAATGGTAGCATTGCGTTGACCAGTCGAAAGAGACCGGTGCTAGAAAAAACGAAAAATCTTTACAGTGTGCCTCGTTTAAATTAAAATCGTTCCGTCTTAATCTAATACCGGGTTGTTTAAAATAAGTAAAAGCGTCCGTTAAGATCCGGCGTTCAATTATTTCCCGCGTAATTGAATTACTCTGCTCGTCTAATTGCGACACGAGTATTTAGCATAGACGGGGACGGTGCTCTTGGTGCTCCATCAAGATCTATCAACCTGTTTGCGTCGGTGTTCACTGTTCTGTGTTCCGCGACGGAGAAATACGACCACGGGGTGGTTGGCGCGGGGGTTCGAGGCGCCGTGGCCCGCTATGAGGTCCGGTAATGACACCACTCGCTTCTCGACCGTTAGTATTTGACATCGCGACACGGTAATGCTCCTGTGCATCCCAGTCCGCAAATGGATCTTGACGGGACTAGAACGAGCACGTCACCTGATAAATGTTAGGCATGACTATTTTACGCTCGTGCTCTTCGCCGCGTTAAACGATCGACATTCCGGGACTTTTTCTGGAAAATTGATTTCTCTCGTCGTCGAACCCCTAGGACATTTTGGTCTCATACTTAGGTAACAGTCAACCCTCAGTGGACGGGCGCTCTTTATCGATCAATATAAAATTTTATATAATTATTTCTGTTCTTTAGTTTATTCAATTTTATTATGATCTTAGTACGTCGTGACGATCTAAATTTAAAGTAATTTCGTTCCTGAAAGTCGAGTGGCACAATAATAATGGCCACCATTATATGGCTGCAATTTTACACCTGGAAAGCCACTACATTACTTCCTAACGTACATTAATTAAGGTTAAAACGTATTTCTCCACCTGTGCACGTGGTACACTAACCTTAATACAGTCTTTTCTATTCATACATCTTTTGATCTTGTATATATTTGATTCCGTCTACCGTTAACGAATGCAGAGTGTAAATAAGTTAATCTTCAGGCTCCCAAAAAGATCTCGAATTAATTATCTCCCGATAATAGATGCTACTATGTGTTCTCAAAACATCAAACTCGTTAATTAATACACTTTTCACTTAGCAAACTTAATACCTCAGCGCGTTAATCGAACGTTCGACAAAAGAGATGACTTGACAGTTCTCCAGCAAGCATTATAACTAGTTAACGAAGATGCAGTCGAGTATTTTACACAATTTCCAGTCTGTTTTCTGCTGACTGTAATTACGAGCGATTTTTCTACAAGAAAATCATAGTCACTCCCGATCAGGATTTCCCCGAAGGCCACTGTTAGCACGTTCAAGATGCTTTCGTAAATATTAAAAACGCGAGAATTGCGAGCGTTCCCAAGATCGATATCCTTTCGTTTCAAAGGATCGCGGACGCAAAATTTCATACTCTCCGGTGTATTCTTCCAAGGGATTCGACAACCGCCGCTCCCTGCCAGCTTTGGGGTTCCCCGAGCCAAAGAAAGGGTATCGATTTCAATCGCAGAAAATGCCATTGTCCAAGCTGGGAAGGAGAACGCGATCGTTTATCGTTACCTGTCCGTCGTTCACCCGCAGCGGATCCCGAAGCGAAACGTTCCACGTCATCGCCGTTGACGTCGTAATAACGATCATTCATTATATCCCTGCCACACGTTTGTCCGAGTGTATCCACGGAGCACGCTGAACCTCCGGGAACGGTATCCGCCAGTCATTCCTGGCAATGAGCAGTCGACGAAAACGCGCGTGGGGGACCGTTTCTTATTTGCCCATTTTTCTGCCGTTTACCTCTTCATTCTTCCTGCCCGGTTTTTTCTCCTATCGTTACCTGCCGTTGGTCTCAATTAAACCGAAGGAAACCGTTGAACCGTCCGTGCGTGGG